TGGCTTGTGAATAAGAAACTGTGTCTTTCATTATCCCTATGTTTAAATCAGATTCTTGTAGATAACAAACATAATCTTTTGAAATGGCATTTCTTTGTCCTTGAACAGATCTTCTTAATGCCATTTGTTCTACAATTTCTTCATTTCCAATGATTTCATTACGGGATTGTGGTCAGTGTTGTGGTTCTTCACTGCTTATCGATTCAACAATGAGAGGAACCACTAATGATCCTTCATCATTATGAGGTTCAACAATGGAGGGACTTGCTTGTTTGTATTCTTTATGGGTAGTGGGATTGTTACTCTAATTTCATGAACATATTTATCTTCTACAGAAGTACTCCCACTAATCATGCCATCCATAATGAATTTTACATTTCTAGTTTCTATAACTCGAAACCTATGGTTAGGACAATAAACTATGTACCCTTTGGATTTTTGAGGAAAACTGAAGAAATATCCACTTATAGTTTTCATACCAAACTTTCTTTCATCTGGATTATAAGCTCTTGCTTCCACTGCACATCCCTAAACTTGCAGGTGTTCCAAACTAGGTTTCCAACCTTTCCACAATTCAAAAGGAGTCTTTGGAACTACTTTGCTAGGAAAGTTATTCAAAATGTATACATCCATACGAAGATCATATGTCTCTAATCATATGGGTAAGTTAGCATGACTCATCATGCTTCTAACCATTTCTAAAAGCATGCAATTTCACCTTTCATCTACACCATTTGCCAGGGAGCCCCTGGAGTTGCATATTGAGCTGCAACTCCAAGCTTCTTGAGGAGTTTGACAAAAGGTCCAACATGTTAACCTGTTTCATCATATCTGCCATAATATTCTCCACCTCTTTTCGACCTTATGATTTTCACCTTTTCCTCTAATTGCCTCTCAACCTCGATAATAAACACTTCAATAGTATTTACTAATTGAGTTTTTTTGTGCAATAAGTGGAGATATCAATAACGTGAATAATCATCAATATAGGTGATGAAATAATTTTCTCCATCGAAAGTTCACGAATCACTATTCACGATCATTAATCCAAAACATCAGCGGTACGCTATGATACCAATTTGATAAGAGTCAATAAAAGGTTGCCAGGATTAGAATATTAAAACCCTACAGCTTTTGAGAGGCTGCAGCCTCTCCCTATTCAGTTGTAGAGAATTGAATTATAATAAATTGATCTATATTCCAAAAAGATAAACAATGAAGGTATTTAAACTAATAAGTAAAAGACTTCTAGAATAAAACGGATCCTAAAGAAAACAAATAAAACAATTAAAATAAACATAAAATAGTTATATGTAAACTTGAGGACTTATGACTTATCCAAGACTTGTTTTATCTTTATCTTATTAATCAACCCTCCTCTCTTTCCTTCTTGAATATGTCTTTATACTATGAAGTTTATCAAAGATTTGAAGAATAGTCAATAATGAAAGTCAAAGTCTACAAAAGTCAAAGAAAGTCAGAGGTGTTAACATTTGTTAAAAAGTCAATGTTTTAATTAGAGCTTGTTCATAGTTTGACTTTCTAATTAATCAAGAGTATAAATACCTTGTATTAGCTTAGTTTAGAAGCAAGCCTTTCATCGATATATCATATTAGAAATTATAGAGAGAAATATTGTAGTGAGGAAGATTTCAATATACATTATGATTTGAATATTGAATTTTGTTAATATTGTTTGAATTCTTTGTTACTTGATTCAAATATGGGATTGTCAATTGGTATCAGATCTTAAACAGAAGAATTGTGCAATAATTTAAATTTTTGTGAAGATTTTTGAAGTTTCTTGGAAGTTCTTGAAGATGGTGAAGAACACAAATGGGTTTGGTATGTTTTGTTGTTATTTGGATTAGATTTTGATTGTAAAGTGTTTCTCCATCATTTTATAATTGTTTTGCATCGATTTCTATTCAAAATTACATCAAGATTCTTTGAATTTGAAGATCTTTGAAAAAATTTAAGTTTTTGGAAAAGTTGTCTATAAAATTTTTTGGTGAGTGATTTTGAAAATTATCTTTGTAGCTGTCAATGCTGGTGTATATTTCATTAGTCATGCCTTGAAGAAGAAATGACTTTGCTAATTGATCTGCTTTAGCTCTATTCTTTTCTAGGTCAAAATATTTTGACTTCTCTTTAACTTTTAGTATAGTAGGAATTGGTGGATCATTGTTGGGCATTGCTGGTACTTCAGCATAAAAAACTTTAGGACCTTCCTTCAATGATTCCTTAATTTCTTCACAAAGATCCAGTCTTTCAATAAAATCCAAATATCTATCCTTCCGCTGTGGATAATCACCTCTAAACAGCACATGAGGTTTAACATTTGATCCAATAGCCATTGCTTCTCTTGACGACATTGTCATGTAAACTTGTATGATCGTAGAACAATGATTTGAATTAATACAGTAAACACACAAACAACATAAATATATCGCAACAAAACTACTTTGTCACATAGAACAGTAACAATCCCAAACTCTTGAAAGATATTGCACACAGGTTGTATGATAAATCAAACTTGTCTCACAACACTATGCAAATAAACTTTATCGCACACCACTTGATCGAGGAACCAAATTTTGTCGCACAATACTATGCGATGAACACCCTTTGTTGGTCAACACTTGCGCAATAAATGTCGGGTCATTGACCAACATCTTCCTAAATCGAAACATGACGCTGAATGTTACGCTATAAGGAAATAAGTTGTGCATTCTACATCAGTAATTGCTTTTAGAGTAGTGGTATGCTCTTGGATCACAACATGTGGTGTCGGAGAAGGTCATGGGTTCGAATCCATGAGGTCCATAATAATGCCAAAGGCATGTAGTGCCGCCATTATCTTTTAGCGAAGATCTTGTTAGTGCTGGCAGATGTTGGGGGGATTGTTGGGTCATTGACTAGCATCTTCCTAAATCAAAACGTGGCGCTGACTACTACGCTATAAGGAAATAAGTTGTGCCTTCTCAACAAGCAACTGCTTTTGGCGTAGTGGTATGCGCTTGGATCCTAACAATAACCACTCTTGTAGGTCAATACTTGTGCAATGAAAATAAGTTGTTCGCCAAGACTTGTGCGACAATTGTATTGTTCAAAACCTTGTCATGCAATAACTTGAACTTGTCGTACACAACATGTGCGATACCAAAGAAGTTCTTAAGAATTCAACACTGATCCATGACTTTATGTCGAAAATTTATCCAAATGCAAGGAATTTTTTATACGATAATCGATACTTGATTACAAACACTATTAAAAATTGAAGTTTTACCAAGACCGACCTAAATCGATGAATTTATGATCAAACAGTAAACAACAGTTCGAACCAATAACTTTTCAAAAAACTCAAAATTCATGATCAAAACTTGTTTAATTGCGGAATTAAGCTACTCGGAGATGTTTCCCTATCAAAATCGAGTAGAAAGAAACAAGATTATTGATCAAGAACAATCAAAATCATACAAATCAAAATCACAGCCGACTTTCACGCTTTCTTCAAGAACACAAAAAATTAATCCAAATCAGTTGATCTTCTGCTTTGATACCAATTGTAATTCCCAGTATATCAAGTATATAAACAACAGAATCATATCAACAATGGTAGAACTCACAATCTCATACGTATATTAAGAGAGACTTTGTCATCACATATTACATACAAAGAGTTCTAAAAAACAAGTCCCTCAACTTTAGTACACTTACAATAAGACTTAACCCAGGATACAAAATCATTCAGAAGGTTTTAGAACCATTAAGAGGCAGACTTATTTTAGCAAACACAATTCATCTGTTAGCAATTTAGAGGTTGCCTCTTAGTGGAACTATTAAAGGTAAACAACAACCTCATCTTGTAAGGAATAAGATAAAGTACACCACATGATTTTGTGATATGAAGTCGAGGGTTGATAAAACAAACAAACGATACACTACATTGTACCCTCTATGGCGTCCCTACTAACCTCATCGTCTTGTGCCATCTTCTCTCTACCCTCCCCTTACAATGCCCCACCCCCACTCACAGATCTTATTGCCCCATGTTGTCATCATTGGTTATAGTTACCGTGTTTGTACGTGTTTGGTTTGTGGATTCCTAAGGATTCTAATAAAATTAGAACGACAAATTTATTTGACAAAATTCCTTGGCCATGTTTAGTTCACAAATTGAGTTGATTGGATTCCTCCAAATTTTGTGAATTATCCGGTTGAAGGATTTGATCATTTAATTGCATAAGTCAAAGAACTGAATTTTATTACTTGACGAATGTCAAATATTTTATAGATTGATTTTAAAAAGGCAAATATAACATTGAATCCAATTGAATCAACTCTGACCATTGTTACACCACATTCACCCTCACAACCTACCCCTGCCACCCTAACCCTTGTGTTGTTGTCACCACCACCATCTCCGCCATCCACCTCCACCAATACTGTCGCCTCAACCATCATCACCACAACCACTGCTAGGGATGGTGATTTGCCCTGATCCGGTGGGGAACCCGGTTCATCCGACCCGAATGGGGACGTGAATTCCCCGCTAAAATGGGTCCAGGGCCGGGGTCGGGGATCCCCGGTAGACTCAAATCGGGGACGGGACCGGGGGATGTTACTCAAATCGCGGCCGAGGATCCCCAGTATAATCAAATTAAAGGATATTATTTATGGGGCTTGACCAAAGATTGATAAAGGTTTGATTGGAGACGAGATGCTAATCCTCGTACCCGTCAGGACCGAGAACATGGGATGTTACTTCAAACTGGGGCCGGGGATTACAAAATCCGCACCATCTCTGCCCATTACCATGCTAAGCCACTGCTTTCTCCGACACCATAATTAAACAAATATAAATAAAATATATTTTGGTTATTTTCACTTAACTTGATGCAAATGATGCCTATTAAAAAGGCATTCGTATGTATTATTTATTTTTATACAATTTGGTAATAATGATTATTGGAATAGAAGAGGATCCCTTTGGTCTCTGGTTCCCTCCTATATATTTGTAAACCTAGACGCCACCCAACGGCTTTGACCGGTGAGTGGAATAGCATGGCGAAACCACAGAAACATTCAAAATCCCATGGATCTTCGAAGCGGCCAGGGAAACATGGTCTCAAACCCAAGATCAAATCATCAAAAAAAGTTAAAAAATCCGAGTCCGAAGCAGCGCCAAAGCCGCCACCGCCACCGCCACCGCCACCTGAATTGCTGTTAACCACTTCGCAGCAGCTGGAGTTTTTCATTCAGCAGTATCAATCAGCAAATAGCATACAACTTTCGTCTCTCGAACTTGAATCGTTCACAGGTATGCCGCCTCCATGTGGTTTTAATAGCTGTATTCAGTTTATGGTTTATATATAATTGATGTTGACCGTTTATGTTACCACATTGTTAAGCCAAAGTTGCCTATTTGCTGTGATTATTACATATTAATTGATTTTAGTTGATTCAAATGCTCTTTTATTTGTTAATACAGAAAAGTATTTAAGACCAACACTCGAGCAATTTTATTACAGTTTCGTTGAACGTTTCATCAAACTTTTAACTTCTAGGGTAAGTAGCGTTTCTGAACTTTGTGGAGTTTACTCGGGGAGATTTGTTTGGATGGCCCAGTGGGGCTTGCCAAATGGCTTTCATAGGTGTTGAGTTTGAAACCCTTGGTGTGGTTTTATGAACTACCAGGGGGGTATGAACTAGTTTGTGGAAAAGTTTCAACCCTCTTGTGTGTTTTTACAGGTCTTTTGAAAAAATATAAGCTTGAAACGGTCATGTTTATTAGACAAAGCTAGAGTTATGACGGTCATGTTATTAAATGTTATTATTAGATATGACTTATATTATATAATATTTTTATTTTCCGCCTTGAGGCTTACTCCCCTAGAGGCACGTTTCTGTTTTTAAAACCTTGGCATGGTTAACGCCCCAAATAGTTCGTTTTTGGATTTTATGTCAATTGGTTCATTTTTAGTTTCAAACTTGACAAGAATTATATTGGCTGAGTAGGACACTTGCAAATCTGTTTTTGTCAATACTCCTTCCTTCCACCCACAAAAATTGCAACACTTTTATTTTGTGATGGCCCTTATTGATAAAGCAAATTATTTTATTGCAAAGATTTAAAACTACCAATTGATGGTACCGATACTCGTTTACAAGACTAACCTAGTTTCTTTAAATAAAGTCCTAGACATTTAATAATTGTGAGACACTTATAGTGCAGGTCCACTTAATCATCATATGAGACCGCTGTTACAAAAAGAAAGCTTTTGATATGCATTCCTTAAAAATATTGATTGATGGCTTCATTTAGGTTGTCAAGCATGCACAGTTCTATACCACATATTTTTTAATCTAAACAAGCAAAATAGATGTGGGTAAGATTTAAGGAAGTGATATGGAGACCGTCTTCAATGAAAATACATCGAAGATATAAAGGTTACTTTCTACAAGTACTATAAAATAATATGGATGTGACGAAATCAGGGAAGTACATAGGATGGAACCAAATCACGATAATAAATGAGGTTCTTCAGTCAATAACTCTGTGGGTCTTGAGATGCTTTGTCTAAATTGCATGGGAATTGGCATAAATTTTATGTTCACAGACCATTGGAACTGGTAGGCACTTGGTACAGTTAATGAGCACAGCCAAATTCCAAAATCATCCTTAAGCTGATGGTAATTCCGAGAAACTTCAGTTTCTGAAACACGTAGTTGGGTATTACTATTGCCTAAACATTTATTAGGTGTCCAGACACAGCCTTGGATGCAAAACAACTAGCACCACAAATGTGAAATCATAGAAGTAAGATACTTGGTCACTAAACTTCTGGTAAAAGATCTGATTTCTTCTCAAAGAGCAGTATTCCATTTCGTTAGATTAAGTATCTATTTCACAAACTTTTGAAGTGAAGGTCTTTTCAGTAACCTTAAAACATACAAAAGTGAGTTATTCTGTTAAAAAGCTAACATTACTATGATAGATGTCATTTCCTGATACCTAGCCTAACTTGGTCATGACTTTTCAACTATGTTCAGCATTTTATGTTTAAACACATATAAAAAGACCGATTGGTCAATTTAAGTACAAAGAAGGATCCAAGTTATTGGCTACAAGCAGAATGCATTATATCTTTGTTGTAAGAGGTATAATTTACCATTCCAGAGAAGAATGGTTTTCATTAGTCAATCCAATGCGTACAAGTATAAAATTTGAGCTGTGAGTGACTTGGCACTTGTGGTTTATGGATGCTTACATTGGTTTATTATTCTTCTTGTCTTAATGTCAAAACAATGATGCTCTTGAAGGAGATATGTGAATATGAATGCAAGGGCATGGAGCAGTTGACTCCCGATGTCCGAGTGAAGTTCATTGTTCAACACCACATACCATTCAGCTTTGGAATCTTTTTCTCTACACCATCTATGTTGGGAAGACATCTTGGTTGGGACTTGGGTAAGCTTGTAGCAGTAGAAGAACTGCCATAACCATAGATAATAGCTTTCAGGTTTGAAGGAAAATGTACAGGTTGCCTAGCAGTTGATGAAGTCATACATACACGCCGGGGGAGGGGGACTAGTATGGAGGTAGGAGACTCGGTCTAGTATGGAGGTGGGAGACTTGGTCTACCATAAGTATCATCCTTAGTCGTTACTGAATCCTTTTAGCGGCTCGTGAGAGGAATTCAAAGTTGTCATCTGTTCTCTATGGCTCTTAGTACTAGCTCAATGGCAACAATAGCCTATAGTTGAACTGCTATGGAAGTAACATTTACGGAGTTTTTAGTGTTTCCAAATTAGGAAGTATTACGATAATTGCTTTTTCGGCATGTTTAACAAGTCTTGATCTGATGGAAGAATGTCTGAATGCATGATGCTACATGGGAGATAGCCTTGACTACACTTGTAAGGTTTAGATCCACATCTATGCTGTTGGGAGCTCATAGCAGTACCAGCAGGTACAATGTTTTTTTCAAAATGAGCACAAATCATGTTAGTACTGTGTGTGGGGTTGAAGAGTGCTTTGCAAGGAACATAACCTTTTATTCTGGTTGCAAAAAGTTATATGTCGATTAATGATGCTCATTTCTCATATTTGGAGACTCCGGGCCTGTTTGGCGGTTACTGAATGGTTTGGTGTAGAATGATTAAGAGGCTCTTACGGTATAGTGTAAAATGAAATATAATTGTTTCATAATTGTTCAGAATGAAATTAGGGCGCTGAATGGTTAAGGGAGGCTCAAGATACAACATCATATAGAGGGTTTTAGAACCATTAAGAAGCAAACTTTTATTTTTGCCAAACAAGTTTCACCTCTTAGCGATTCAGAGGTTGCCTCTTAATGGAACTATTAAGAGGTAAACAAACAACCCCTCCCCTCTCTTAAAAATCCCGCCTACACTTCGTTTTTCCTTTTATTGTAGATTCCCAGTTGCTCTGGAAACTCTACTCAATACTCATTATGGCCTTCTGCATTCTGATCTTGACAGAATTTTTTTGATCCAGTATTCTTTTTATAACTCTTCATAATAAGAAATGAAGACCTGATATGGTTATTGAATGTATTATGAAATCTTCAACCATCTCATCATGGATGGGAAGTGTTCAAACTGGTCCAGAAGCTCCAAGAATTAAAAAAAGCCTTAATAAGACAACAACATAGTGATATGAAGCTGGATAACAATTTGATGAAAAGTTATCTTATACTGTCTTCAAATTTGAAATCCTTATCTGGTGCTTAGGTATTGAAATGATCTGTCAAATTCATAATAAATTTATGGCATTTCTCTATTGTGAAAATAAATCTAGTTACTCAACCGTTTCATGAACTATGATGCACAACAATAAAATCCCAAACTTGTAGTCATATTTGAGTTGCATTTTCTTCATATGTTATTTTTTCAGTCTGATTGACTTTAATGATTTTGAGCTCCTCTGTTGTCATCTGTGGAGGATCAATGATGCAATTAAGCAATGGAACGTTTCCCTTTTGGATCTGAGGGGAACACAAGAAAAGAGTGATGCACTTTTAGGACCTGCATAAGTGGGGTCATGTCACGGAAAAAGAGAACATGGATAATTGATTTGTTCGTTCTGAAAGTTTTGGTCTTCCTGATTAGCTCCTCATTTCCTTTTCATCGTGGTCTCTAACATGAGGAATCAATGCACATGATGCATCTTATATACACACATGTAATAGCTTTTTAATGGAAGACACAGATTTCATCTATCTTTCTCTTGCTAAGATGTTATGTTGGTTAAATGCTGCTGCAGATGCTTGTATTCTCAAACTATCTGAAAGTCTACCTCAGGATGTCAGTAATTTAAGTGAACATATGAAGGCTGCCTTTGGACCATCTTGGAAAGAAGTCTTATGTAAAAAGCAGCTCCTTGGGAAGATTTCTGAACCTGGGAGTCCAGCACTACTTACAATTAGTTTATCTGCCTTAAGATCACTGGAACTTCTCAGGTTTGTTGCTCGTGTCTTGAAACTAGTTGCAAACTGACCCTTCATGCACAAGTGATGTGTGAGGAATATAAAGTTCCTTCTTCTGTATCTTTTCTTTCTCTTTTATATCTGCTCTAGGTACTTTCTCATCGTTTTGTACTAAAGAATATATTCTTGTACTTCTGTAAAATATGTTTGACCGAGGCTTTGTTGCTACCTATTTGATACAACCTATATAGTTAGCAAGCAGTGTGTGAGTTGACTTTATCTACTGGGATGCATATAAGGTCTATTACTTGAAGAGAGTAGGACCCAAAAAAACATAATGATTGATCAAAGAAATAAGCAGAGGAAGAGAAAGAAGAAACAAGAACATTTCCAGGAAGTGACATGTTTTTTTCTCGTAATCAGAATATTCTTTAGAACTATTTGTTCTTATACTGAACCATGTGTGGTCAATATCATGGTAATTCGGATTGCTATATAACCTGTTTAAGTTGATTAAAATATCTGTTGCTGTATTATAATTAATTAGAATGATCAAGTGCAAATGAAATGAAAGCATGCCTAAAGCTGTATCAAAACTTTCTCAAGTAATTTAAGTGTTTATTTGTTTGTTCTCTTCATGACAAACCTGCAGGAGTTTGAAGCCTTTCACTAGAGACTGCCATGCTGCAAAACTTTTTGCGAAGCATTTGAAGATTGAAGATCAGGTAATGACTGCTTTCAAGAACCTTTGTGGACACTAGGTAGTAGATGATCATTAAAAAGGGATATTTTTTGGGTTTGGGGGGGAGTTGTGCGTAAGTGATATATCTCATGTCATCATCTGGGTTGGTACCTGTTAGAGGCCCAAAATTGTGCTTTCACAATTGTCAAATACCAAAGTTTAAAGTATAAATCTTGGTATGAGACGAGCATATTATACGAGATATTATATTATTCAGGAGTTTGCTAGAAAGATAGAATTACTTATTTGTAAATTAAACTTGCCATACTAAATGACCTATGATAGTTGAGATGGGTTATTTATCTTTTCTCACATTAACCTGGTAGAGATCTGAGAGCTTGTGTGGTCACTCACTAGGATGTGCTTGAAAAATTAGCAGCAGAGGTGGGTAAGATATTATGCAAACTCGTAGCAGGGAAAAGAATTTGCATTTCTATTTTTGTTACCATTAATTGTTTTCTATGGTTTCTAACCAATTAATTGATAAAGTATTTATCATTTTTCAATGGTAATAATAGTGATAATGAGTTAATAGCTTTTGATGGCGCTTCAGTACTTAACTCATGGAGCATGCTTGCGTGAATGATATTTACTTTACATTTTTAGGTCGTGAACCTACTCTGTAAATGTATATGTATTCAGGGTGTTCCAATTAATATATTATATGGTTTTTGAGCCTAATGTATGAGGGGTAGGATTTTTCCACTTAACCAATCATGCAGCCTTGACATTTGAATTGCTTTGTGGATTTCAAGTGAACTTGATTTGCTTGGCTATGGGGTTTGGTCAAAGAACTCACAGAAGTCTGAGAGACCTGAAGAGAGAATATCTTGAATGCTTGTTAGATTTCTTTTTCTTGGATGATTAAAAACTAGAGGGACCTTCCCTTAAAAATGAGTCTTCATCTCTTAAATGAGCAAGCTAGATGACAAAACCTTCTGTCCTATGAAATGTTACATGATGTATGAGTAACCTAGAATATGCAGGAGAACTCTACAAAGCATAGAGAATTCTATGTAGCACTTCTTGGTGAATGCTTGTAGAGAAGTCCAACATGTACCAACCAGAACCAGGTTTTCATTGGAACTTAAGTGAACTAGACAATCTATAACAATTCCTCCATTGAACTTGGGTTGCCCTTGTCATGATCTCTTACAGGTCACTTGTCCCTCATGGTGTACCACTATCTTGAGCTTGCTTCGTCGGCATTCCTTCTATTGTGGGTTTCTTGCTCTGTCAGTACTAAGCTAACCTGATGCATTTAGCCTTCATTGGAGTGATTTCATAGGATTGAGAAGTTGTATACCTTTCGCTCTGCACTTCCATGTTGAGCCTATGTTGTCAATATATTTCTTTTGATGCAGGTTCTACTAAGCAGACCTCTTTACATTTTTCCTCGATTGTTGTGCCAACATGCCACCGAGGAGTTGTATGGAACACATTTGTGTTTCTTCCTTCTCTGGTTTTTGATTTTGTTGTTTCTTCTCTTGGAACTGGGACACAATAGGGTGAAAGTTTGTTCTCTTGGGGCAATCCTTGAACCCTCAAACTGGCTCAAAAAGGTGAGGGCTTTGAACATGTGAATAAGTAAATTTAAACATACTACTAGTCCCTAGACGTACTCCTAGATAGGGAAGACATGTATATGCTTACCCATGAAAACCCATAGAAAAGGTAAACAGTGATGAGTTGTTATAAAAATATATATACATACAATACATATATATATGTTAAGGCAAATGATTGTGTGAGAAAGAGAGTTAATGTGAGAAGCGTGAGAAGCGTGAGAAGGGATCTGGACCCTTGATCACCTTTAATCTCAAACCCACTCATGAATCGCTCTTGATACGGGGATTGATCCAGTGCATCTCATCCTAATGTCCATCCAAGGGTGGAGATCCTTTCTTACGCTTCTCACCTAACTCTCCTTCTCACTGGAACCCTTAAGATAAAAAACATAAAAGGACTTGTTTCACCATAAGTTTCATGGCTTATACTTCCTATCCTTGGGAATCCCTGGGTTCTGAAAGTTAGAACGTGACTCAGTAGTATGCTTTGTAACTAAGTAAGAGGTTGTTTGTTTACCTCTTAACAGTTCCATTAAGGGGCAACCTCTGTATCATTTAGAGGTGAATCTTGTTTGGCAAATAAAAAAGTGTCTCTTAATGGTTCTAAAACCCTCTGAATGGTTTTGTATCATGGGTCTCCCTTAACCATTAAGTGCCCTAATTTCATTGTAAACAATTACCAAACAATTATATTTCATTTTTCACTATATCTTGAGAGCATCTTCATCATTCTGACCACTTAATCATTATGTACCAAATCATTCAGTAACTGCCAAATAACCCCACTATATAGATAGACAAAACACTATCAAGAAAAACAGGCATATATAGAAGCATTAGAGACATTGAACTCAAAGTTCGATTTTACTAGTCCAATGCCTCTAAGTGGACTGGTGGAGTGATTAGCTAAATAAGGGATGTGTAGAAGAGGATACTGTTGGAAAGATATTTTATTCTCAATCATGTTAAGAGAAGCACCTAGGACAATGATTGAGATGTAGCAAGGGCAAAAAGACAAGTAATGGGATCATCTGTGTGTTATGGTGCATGAGGAATAGCCTCCTCAGAGAAGTGGGTCACTTTGAGCTTCTCACCATTATGGACAGCAGACCTAGAAATGCACTGCTTACTATTGTCTGAGCTAGTAAAATCCTGAGAATTCCTTTGATGGAGCTCTGGACAGTGTGACTTAAAGTGGTCAGACAAATGATAATAACGATAAGCAATGATACATATATCTACAAATTTCTACCAGATCCCTTTTTGAGCTGTCACCACATCCTGTACCCAGAACTCTCCCAGAATCTCGTTCTCTCCTTGACTTATGCAATTAAATGATCAAATCCTTCAATCGCAGAATTCACAAAATTTGGAGGAATTAAATCAATTCAATGTGTGAACTAAACATGGCCAAGGAATTTTGTCAAATAGATTTGTTGTTCTAATTCTATCAGAATCCTTGGAATTCTGCAAACCAAACACCCACAGTCCCAGTAAGGGTAGCCAACAATGACAACATGGGCAATAAGATCTGCAATAGGGGGTGGGGCATTGTAAGGGGAGGGTAGAGAGAAGACGATACAAGACTATGAGGTTAGGGGAAGGGAAGGAGTAGGGACGTCATAGGGGGTACAATGTAGTGTATTGTTTGTGTTTATAGCAACCCTCGACTTTAGATCACAAAATCATGTGGTGTACTTTATCCATTCCTTACAAGAACTATCGGGCTGTTTGTTGACCTCTTAATAGTTCCACTAAGAGGCAGCCTATGAATCGCTAAGAGGTGAATCTTGTTTGGAAAAAAAAGGGTCTGCCTCTTAATGGTTCTAAAACCCTCTGAATGATTTTCTCCTGAGACTTGTACCTCTACCTTCATCTTTAGCTGCAGGTGCTGAGGACTCCTAATCATGAGCAGATGACAACCCTTAAGAGTCAGATTTTTTTGAAAGGCAGCACTTGGAGTCAGATTCGGTAGATCATAAATAAGCTCCTACTTATTGACCCACAAGGATTTGGCAGTTGGGCATGTCATTGCTGTGGCATACCGCATATGTTGCTAAAAAACATATATAAAATGTCACTATCAGTTGTCTGTCAATCACAAGTAATAATAATGGGGGGATGCTCACATGATATTGAGGCCTTGTGTACACAGTTGACAACCATATCGAATTTGTGTCATTCAACTTGATTGTTATCCTTACTGTATGGCTGCTTAATTCCTCCTCACCAGCCATATGAACACAAAAGTAGAGTATCATAATTAATAAACAAAAGGTTATTGTTGTCACCAAATCTGATCCAGAAGAAGTGAACCACTTTATGGTCTCTGTTTGGTTTGATGTTCAGCCTATCTCAACCAATCCGTGATAAAGGCTTATTATTGTTGTTGTCCCAAATCGGTTGCTTTAACTTTTTTTGAGGCAGTATAATATTTATATACGACAAATACTCACACACACTCCTCACCTTTGGTGAGGTTTGAATCCTTGACCTCCTTGGAGGCTGGGCTCTACCACTAGGCCAATGTCCCTTTGGTCAGTTGCTTTAACTTATTGGCAAAATGCAGATTACTTTTTCCATATGGGCCTTCATTGTGGATTTTATTGTTATAAGGAGCACTCCTTCATTTGGTTTTAGTTGTCCACCTTTTAAGTTTGGTTGTTACATCTAGTATTTCTCATTCACAAAATTAAAATGAATACATAAAATGTACATCATTTATAAAATTTGTTGCACTTTTTTATTCTTTTAATCTGAACAAATGCATATCATAAGTTTACTAGACATATCAATTTTGAAACTGAAAAGTAGTTGGTTGATCTGGACCCTTGTTATGGCATATGACTATTGGATGTTCTGAATATTGTACTTGTATTTCTGATTGTGTGCAATGCGCTTGAGGATGTTATCAATAGAAGCTAGGTCTTCTCTAGAATTCTAGCCACTTTTTGCCGGTTTAAGATTTCCTTATTACTGCCCTTTGAAATTGTCATTCTGCATTTTCAACATTATCATATGTTTTTAGACATGCTGTTGGATACAAAACTGTTGTCTCAACTGCAAGTTGTCTTCTATCTATATCTAGTTTGTTTTTCCTGCCTTTTTGCTGTTAATCATGGGCTTCATATATGTGTTATTTCTTGCCTTCAGGTTTCCTGTTTAAAGAATCATGTCAATGTTGCTTGCGGGACACCAAGCAGGTAGGCTTGAGGTGTATGTTCACATACAAATTCATATACTTGAAGAGTCACCATAGTTGAGGCTAAGCTACTTAGGCTACATTTGGTACATGGGACAGGACAGAACAGGATGGGACATGGGGTCTTCCTGTCTCACTGTCTGGCTGATTTTCTTAGGAGTCATCATGGTTTGATTTTCTCGATGGGGTTTTACTATGAGACCATTCTTTGCTCATTATATATGTGTGATCTTTGGGCTCGTAATATGTTTTTCTTGTTCTCTTTTTTGTTGAGCACAAATAACATTGAACTATAATTGAATTGTAAGTGAAAATAGTCATGGTAGTCTTTTCTGCCCTGTGAGATTTTGTTAGAGAACACCTCTAGGAAGTTAAATTTTTTTCCATCACATTATGGGCATATCACCAGACGGTCAGTTAATGTGTTAATTCCCAATAGGTTTGTTTAGGTACCCCTCATTCGACCTTTTTTCTCTTTTTTTCAAATGTTCCATATTTCACTTTGTAGTCCCCATCTTCGATTCTCATTATGCCAGGTAAATTGGCCTAGTCACACCTTCCATTTTCACTCAAATCTTGCGAGTAGAACACAGTGAAATTGTTAAATTAACAAAATGACTAAACGTAATAGCCTGGCTGTTATATGTTGAGTATATGTATATGTGTTGGTATTCTCTTATGAAGTTATGATCCATAAACTATTTGTTTGCCATGTTTTCCTTCTATTAAATTGAACCTTCTCATCCCTTTTCCAGTACTTCTACCGTCTTATTTTTCTCTCCCCCCCCCCCCAAGAAGATAAAGGTCCATGTAGAATGGTTAGCCTCTTTTTGTAAATTCAGTCTATCCCTTGGTCATCTTATGCTGGTGAATGCTGATCTAGGACAAGGGATCTTTTAGGAGTCATCCTTAAACTAGTGCTACGATTTTTAACTAGATTCTTTTCATAGAAGTTCTTATGCTAGACTAGTTGCTCCAAGTTATGATGTTTATATGCCTTTCGTTGGTTTGATATTACCAATGCCCAATTGTTTCAGGATCAAAAAGTTAATTGACATGGAAGCATTGTGTCTCTCACGATTAGCCATTGTTGTGCTTGATATGCATTCAGACGTCAAGGGATATTCTCTTTTTAGCATCCCTCAAATCAGGTAAAATTCTCCAGAACTTCCATTCTATGTTACTTTAAGCATTATTACATTTTAGTGAAATGGGTCATTCATGAAGCTACAATGTTGCACAAGCAAGGCTTGTAAAAGAAAAGCAATCTATTAGTTTAGTTACAGATACAAAAATAGCCAACGATTGGCCAATAATTCACATGTGATCAACATGACATCACAGTGAATGCAACATTGTAGATCAAAAGTTCACATGTTGTCTCTGAAACAGCCCTTCTGCAAACATGCAAGGGAAAGACCATGTAAAGAATTTTTCCTACGGTGATTCTAGCAAAAGGAAAAACTGTAGCCATAGGGCCTCAGGGTTGTTATATTTATGGATTAGTAGACATATTGATGAAATGCAAATGCTCCCTTCTAAAAAGAATCCTTTTTATAGTTATTCTCTGCCCTAGGGGAAAAAATCTATTTAGGGGCTGTTTGGCAGTTGCTGAATGGTTTGGTGCAGAATGGTTAAGTGGTCAGAATGGTTAAGAGGGTCATAATGGTTAAGTGCTGAATGAAATAATGTTGTTTGGTAACTATTCTCTGAATAACAACAAATTACCATTTTAACCCTGATTTAGGACTGGATGAATTGGAAGTCCGAAACCCCCAAATGGGTTCAAGTTTTTCTAGAGAAAAATTGTAACACAGAACATGGAATTGATCATCAAATACCTTACTTGATTTCAACTGCAATTCATAACATCAAATGAATTAGAAACCCTAAAACAAAATGACAAACACCTAGAATGATCGAGCCTAAAACAAACCCTTCATCAAGACGTCAAATTAATCTTCCAAAGTTTAAAACAAACTCAAAATGACGAACACCCAGAATTAGAAATCGATGATAAACCAAAATTACAGAGAAAAACCGACAATATTTGCTGTAGTTGATGAATCAATCGGAGCCGCTACTGTTAACCCTACTGACAGGAGAGGATSCAGCGGAGGCAACGAGCGGAGGCAACGAGCRGCGGCRACAACAGCAGCAACTYGGGAGAGGYGACACARTATCAACTCGGGAGAGGCGACAACAGCAGCAACTCGGCGGCGACGAGATGGTGGAGGCGACACAGCAGCAACTCGGGAGAGGAGACACAGCAGCAACTCGGGAGAGGCAGCAACTCGGGAGAGGAGACACAGCAGCAACTCGGGAGAGGAGACACAGCAGCAACTCGGGAGAGGCAGCAACTCATGGGAGGAGGCGAGATCGACTGGAAGGAGGAAGGAAGGTGGGAGGCGTGGGAGGAGACGAGATCGATCGGAAGGAGGAGAGGGCAAAAATGGATCGATCGTGGGAGCAGCGGGCTGTTGAGGAGAGGGCAAAAATGGAAGAAGAACCCTCTGAATCGTTGAGGGGAGCCCTAGCCCCTAAATGGTTAAGAGCCTCTTGTAACCATTAAGAGGTTCATTTTTTTTTGCCAAACAACCCTTGCCTCTTAGCGATTAAGAGGTTGGCTCTTAATGTCACCATTAAGAGCCAAACAAACAGCCCCTTAATGGTTCAACATTAGGATAAATATGATATTCCTACATTATCCTTCCTTCTACCAAGTTAATTTTTTAGTTAATTGTTATTTAATCATGTGTGAGATTGGCCAAGTAGTTTCTTTAAATTTCTTGAAGATTTTAAAATGGAACTGTTTTTAAAGAAAAAAGCGAGAAAAGAAATATCTATTCATATTTGCCTTGATTTACAACGTTCTTTAACTGCCGTTATAATTTTATCACACTTGAGTTCAATCTACAGATTCAGCTGTGTGGCGACATGGGGGCGAAAAAAGGAAAACTGGAATGGGGTTTCTTTCGCTTTGGGCTATTTTCATTTACTAGTATTAGATTTCTACTAGGATTTCTTTTTCTCATTTCTAAAACGTTCTATTATACTTGCTTCCTTGTCCCCAACAAAGCCCTAAAGTTGAGGAAATCTTGAACTTCTCTTGGGGGCATCTACCTATAGTTATTACTCCCTTCGTCCTAAAATAAAGTGTCTTCACATTTCTATTTGAGTTTGTTCCATAATAAGTGTCCACTTTCAAAAATAAGTGTCTACTTTCCAATTCTACCCTTAATTATGAGATAAAGAAATTCATTAATCCAATACTCCCTCTGGTGTTAAGGGCAAAATTGTCATTTAGTTAATTAAAAATGTGTAGTAATGACATATTTCTAAAACTGGGTGCCTTTTTCATCATGGACTTCACTTTGGGACCGAGGGAGTATCTACATTGTTGTAAATATCCTTCTCTGATGCAACAATCTTTAACATTCATGGAACTGTTTTAAAGTATTGAGGAATTATATGTCTCTAATGCAGAGATGAGTTCTGGGAATTGTACACAACTCACTTTCACCAGCGAGTACTAGATGGCAGTCTTCGCATCTGTCTTTATGGTACCATCAATGCTAACAACTTCAAAAAGAAGGGAAAAACGGATGCCAGTGGGTGAGCAATCGCGTTTTGTTTGTGGGGGAGCTCAAGAAGCTGCGTCTGCCCAATATGTACGCCTCCATTTCGATTTTATTTCTATAAAATTTATTTCCGCAGGTTGTATATTATTGTTAAGCAGTTTATATGTGAACATTACACCTTGTTCTTTCTGTCATTTTCTTTTCATGCTTATTTTGACATGCTAAAACCAAAACATGAATCGTACGTAATTTACGTATGTACTTTATTTTGGGGAAAATGGTATGAACTTTGTTTTAGTACCTATTTAGTGTATCAAAGAACTTTTTCCGATCAATATAACAAAGTTCAAAATTTTATAATCTTTTTAACCCATTTCGAGAGGTAACCTGATAATCATGTAACATTTGATAACATGGATGTTAGGTTTATGGTATGCTTTGCTATAAATCTTTCATAAATGAGTATCTACGTCATCAAATGCTACAAGATCAGCACAGGTCAAAATTGATACCATATAGAAAATTTTGAAACTTTGCTACATTGATTAAGGAAAAAAATTATTCGCTATGTTAAATATAAACTAAACCAATTATGTTGATTTTGCTCTTTTTATTTTCTTCTAAAGTTTTCATCTTTTCTAAATTGTTCACTGTCTGGATTTCATGATATTGTAGGTTTTTAGTGGATTCTTAGGGACTGGAAATGTGGGATCATGAATGTTTCTGAGCACAGAAGACAAATCATGGGAAGAAGACCAGAAAACTTGGACATAGAAGTCATTACTAGCTATTTCTATTATGTCATCATTGAAGGGTGACATTTGGTTATTGTTAGTTAAATTTTACGAGACGGAAAGAGTAACGTTTAGATATTGTTAGATTTCATGATCTGTTATTTCCAGATTATGTTTTTCTTAGGTAACGGGTCGGCAACGACGTTCGTTTCCTAGATTCTCTGCATCGTCAAGACATATTAGTGCTCTTGTAAAAGCTTGAATGGCTATTGTCTGGAAACCTTCAATAGCGAAAATGTATACTTTTTCTAAGTATATAATATTTATATATAGATATAACTTATGGACACTCCCTCGGAGGAGGTTGGGATTTACTGGTAATCTGGGTGTTCGGTGGGTCAATTGGCAATGTATACTTTCCGCAAGTATTTCCGCTTTGATGTCTTGATCCAGGTAGTCAAAAATATTTTCTAAAGATCTCTGTGTGCATTTGGATCGCTCTGTAGAGGATGCAAATCTCTAGAAGATCCGACTCACGACGAATAGTAAAAGGTCATTTACCGAACACTTATCGGATAAGTGCTTAACAGGAAGATTCACCATTCTAATTTACCTTATGGGTAACATTCATGGTCATCAACATGGACTGAGAATATGCGTTTATAACCCGGTAGGTACTTACCAAGTAAGAGTCATCACCCTCACTTACCGGGTAAGAATCTCGATCATTGTCTTCCGTTTTACAGGATAAGATTCTTAATTCTTGTTATGTTCACCTGGTAAGATAATTGAACCAATAAACATTTACCAAGGTAAGTGTTTAGTAAATGACTTCTTTTGACATTCGTATGAATTGTTCGTTTTTATGAAAGTGAACTAGATTGAAAGATGATACAAGTGTATGATCTTACCGGAAAAATTGGTATCAGTCTTTAACATATCTTGTAGATAATGGTCACAAACTTCAAACTTGTATCTTTAGCAAGTATGTTAAAATGGAAAAACAGAGGAGTTTTAACTTTTTTTTTTTCTTTCTAACAATTATGTTATTCTCTATGCTAAAATAAAGAAAAGAAGAGAGAGAGAGTGTAAAAATCTTTAAATTTAGAGAAATCTCTAAAATCATATAGAAGAAAGAGAAATAATATTTTAATTACATCCAACAAATTAAAGTTATTGAAGTTACATGTGTAAGGAGAATTTTTTTTTATTATTAAATGTATTCAATATTTTATTAATATAGTCAATGCTAAAATAGAGTATCTGTTGGAGTTTTGATGTAATATTTTTTAGAGATTTTGGCTTTTCATATTCTGTTATAGCAAAACTGTTGGAGATGCCTTAATTTTGATGGTTTTACCATTTACGAATGTCGAATGAATTGCCGATATGCCTTTAGATATAGGTTGCGTTTGTTTTCTAAAAGGTGTTGAAGTCTGAAGTCGTATTTTACTTATGATTAATAAGAGGTGGTGCTGAAGTCTGAATTATAAGACTGTTTGTTTTTGTAAAGTGACAAACGTGTGAAGTTTGAACCAATAGTTTGTTTTTGTAAAACCAGGTGCAAAATTTTTGCATAATTCTCTTGATTTTCATAAGATTCTCGTTGCCAAAATTCATTTCAACAATTGCTTAACAGATGGAACACGGTAAGAATCTTTTGGATACCTTTCAGACTTCTGATGCTATTGAGATTGATGCCGATGAGTTTGTTTGTTGAAAGATCGATACTTTTGATAGATGATTTATATTAATCTTCTAAGCTAACCTATACGTATATAAATTATATATACACATATATACACACACACACTGACACACACACACACACATATATATATATATATATAGAGAGAGAGAGAGAGAGAGAGAGATCTAGAGAGAAGAGGTGGGGGCTTCCATTTCACATGGGTGATGAAACGACAGTGACATACTTGATGGAGAAAGAAACAATAGCCAAAGGGAATCAAATAAAATATGAAATAAGAGGAATTAAAATACTAGTTTACCTCTTATTTATTCAGACCCTATTAAATGATAAGAGGCTCTGAAAATAATAATAAAACAAACAGTCTGAATTACAAAACGTCTAAACAAATCAAACATAAATGATAATTAAGAACTGAAAATGAAAAAAACAAACAAAGAAAGTTTTTGTTTATGGGATCATTCTCGTTGATTAGTTGACGAGTTTGACCTTTGACATGAAAATTATATAATTTCTTTTTTCATGTGAAAATAACCTACACAAGTGTATTAATTTGGTTGTACCATTTTTTAAGTGTTAAAATATTTTATTAAGAAGTACCAAATAAATAACTATTTGAATATAAATATTTCATTGGTCTATAAAAACTAGGCCTAGCTTTTGGGATGTGGTAATACATCTAAGAAATTATTCCACTGAATAGGGGCGGCCTTGAGGGTGTACTGTGGTGTCATCGCATGGGCCCTCCAAGGTATATTATACCTATAAATTATAAAAGAGGAAACTCGTATATGGGTCGTTTACCAAATGTTTATTCTGGTAAGTGATTACCGGTAAAAGTCAACACTATCGGTTACTTACTATGTAAGATTTTAGTCCACCAAAACGGTATCGTATGCAACAATTTACCCGGTAACGCTAACCGTGGTAAGAATCGTCGCACTCACTTATCGGGTAAAACTCTAGGTCCTTGTCTTAGCTCTTACCAGGTAAGATTCTTAGTCCTTGTCATAGTTAGCTAGTAAGATAATGTACATGATAAACGCTTATCCGGATAAGCATTTGATAAACGGCTTCTTAGTGGCATAAGTTAAGCATATGGTTCAGCTCATGAATTACATGCAATTCTCTGTAACAAACCCGGGTTCGACTCCCTTGAAGTTCAAATTGTTCTATTTTGAAATAACTTAATTCATGTAATAATTGTTGATAATTTTTTATTTCCTAAATTATCTATTCTAATTGAAAAAAGTTATTGTCACACCCTGCTAAAGCGGAAACACGAATTGTAACAGCTGAAGGGTTTCATATCATAAGGTAGAAGACAACACCAACCATAGTAAAGAAGATAGTTCAAAGGTTTACAATGTCATAAAATTATAACTTTTCCAAAAGGGAAATAACATGATTGACAAAATGAGGAAAACGATATGCTGCCACATGATGTCTTCCTATATGCCAACCTTATTGATGAACACCTGAAAAGCATGCCGAAGAAGGAGGTCAACTACTGAAATAGTTGGCGAGTTCACAGGTTTTTAAAATAATAATTAAGAAGTTTAACTCATAAAACGATTTAATCCACACAATGGATAAGTAACCGGTAGTTTGTAACGCACAAAGGTAAATTGTATGCTTAAATGCTAAAGCCACGAGCCCACTATCAAATCTAATGACAACACACCCGTGACTACATGTTCTATCGCCAACATGAGTAAACGAAACAATAATTATGCACTCACGCACAATGTGAGTGGGGTGTCAAGCAAATAGCACTATCCATAATTACCAACGGTTCAAATAAATGAATTAATAGGTAGTGTAAGGGAACGGGGATTTAAGAGCTATAGCAAAAGAAAACTCCGGCAAACTAACATAAGCATACATACCAAAGTGCAATAGCAATAAGAATAATTTAACAATTCGCGTATAAGTGAACAACCGGTACGTAGTATTAGTAGTATGTTTTCCCCCAAAAATGCGAAAATAGTAAAAGGGGGTTGTGAAAACTCACCGAGATATGCAAAAACTGATTCCAAAAAATCTACCAAATGCAACCAAGGTCTAGTCCTACTTCGGTCCTACGAAAATCGAACTACTAATGAGATTCAAGCCTAGATATTCAGGTTACGGTGATGCTTAATTATTATAAAATGTCTTATAAAAAACTGAATTTTGTTTGAGTTATTATTTTATGGAAGAAAAATAAAAATAAAAAGAAAGCAAAAGTAAATAGATTTTATTATTTCAATAATTTTATGAAGAAAAGGGGTAAACAATTTTTTTTTACACATGAACACCTCATTTTATTTTTAAGCTTTGCCGTCGGGATTTTTCAGTTATTTTATGCGGTTCTTTATTTGCCTTCCAAAATCATTTGAGTCAGGGGGTTTCTACCCAAGTTAATATATCAAGATAGCAGACTTTTGACATAGGAAATATAAATTTTGAAGATGGATAGGTCCCTCAAGTAGGTCTTATAAGATCAACTATCCAGAAGGTTTAGAGCTGTTTGCGCACTTGTTTTATGTACACTGTTTGGGGGTCGAAATCTCAACGTTTTTAAGTGAGACCACTTGGGTTTAAAAGCTAACACAGCCTTAAACTCCAGAAGAAGTTTCATCTTATTTGGTTAGGTATTTTAGAAGTTACGGTCCTCCGAAGTTAGTAGTTAGAATCTGCCAGATTGCTGTAGGAAGGGGTATTAAGAACTTGTGTTCCAACCTTTGATTCTCACACACCCTTTATTTATATCATTATTTATAAACTTTAAATCAAAAGAAAATAAAAAAAATATTATGATGAAAAACTAGATTAACCATCAATACCTACATGCATCAAAACAAACAAAAGTATTTTGCCAAAACTCTAAAGAATGTTCATCATATATTGCTAATGAGAACTTTTTGAAATCTAAGACATGTGCTCTATTTTTAGTATTTGTGATATGAGATTTTATCACATGCATGAAGTTCAAAATTGGTATTTGATGAGTATGAGAGATCTTTATGATTTATTTTGAAACCAAAGTGATAGAACTTGAATACTCGTTTGGGATGTTAGTCAAAATCTCCAAATGTTCTTCCCTTGATCTTAACTTGGATTTGATCATAGATTATCACAATCTTAAAACATGCAACATGTTTTTGGGAGAGAATCTACAAACATTAAGATCCTAGGAATAGTTCTTAGCACAAACTAGTTATATATATATATAAAAGGAGATCTACAAAATATGTAAAATGAAAGCTACCACTAAGCGAAATGAGTTTTTTTTTTAAACTCTATGAGATGGATGCTTACCTTTAAAAATATACTTCTAACTCTTTGAAATGATGAATTTTGGGGCTGAATGTTGAATAAGAATAGAGAGAATATGGAGAGGGATTTGGGAGAGTTCTAGAGAGAGTTTAGAGAGAGAGGGGGGTTTCCAACTCTTGGCTTGAAATGGGAAAATGAGAGGGTGTTAGAGGGGTTTAAATTGGAGTGGGGTGGGGGAGGAAGCATGGGCCAGCCAAAAATGGAAGGGGGCGATGGGAGGAGAAAGGGTTGGTTTTTGGGAAAAGAAAAATAATGATGAGATTTAATAAAAAGTTTAAGAAAA